ATGGGAAGAAAGGGAGCGGAGGATACAATTTAGACACATCATCAGGGTGAGATGTCGTCAGAGGAAGTCCGTCCATAGTCTTAACTCTCAGGAAATAAGAGGCAAATGAATCCATCTGCTGGAAATGAGCGTGCAGGTGGTAGGGTCAGGAATTTGAGAAGACAGGCAGCCATCAGGAGTACCTCAGGGCCATATGTGAGCAAGGAGGGGCACAGGAGAGTCTGCAGAGGACTCAGGAGGCTGAGTGAGGTTTTAAGGATAGAAGCCTGACCCTGAAGGATTCATGTCCTTGTAAGAAGAGACATGGTAGACCCAGCTGCCCCTCCTGCCACACCTCCTGGACTCCATCACACATGGGTTTGTGAAGACAGGTGGGACCAGGATAGTCTCATTTTTCTCACTGAACAGCCTCCTGTTTGTAGTGTAAGCAAACAGATAGGATCTGAGTGTTGTGGGTTTACCTTGGGCTACAAGGGTATCCTGGAGCCTGGGTGAAGGTCAGTTCGAGAGCCTTCCACCTTCTACAGGCAGGTAGGCTGGGACCCAGTTGAGGGCCACCAGAGGGGGCACATAGGGATGGAGAACAAATCCTGGAGAATAAGTCTAGGCTTTCAAGTAGAAGTGCTGGGAAGAGAGGCTGAGCCTTCCCAAGGCATGGCAGGAAATTGGGGGCCTCCCACTGTGAGTGAGGATAGTGGGAGCAGGATGATGGGAGGAGAGATCTATGGGGACTCCAAGCATGGTCCAAAGCCAAGAGATGGACTCCTCTAAACATTTGGGAAGTGGTTCTTCTACTGTTTGATTTTTCCACCCGGCAAGCTCATCCTTAGCTCTCTCACTAAGTGGTACAGGTGATTGTTTTTTTTATGTTTCATAAAATGATGAGATTGAATGAAAAGTAATGTCACGGTGAGCCTTGGGGGAGAATTTTAGGGAGCCCTTTGGGAGCCACACACCCAGAGCAGACTTCTATGGGAGCAGATGGTGGGCTGGTTAAATCACCTAGGGTAGCATTCTCACACTGCCTGGCCAGCTGGGGTAGGTGTCTGCACCTGTCTCTGAGCCTCAGTGTCCTCATCTGCACAATGGGGCAGTGACTGCCGATGTGAGCATTAAATCAGGCAGGCTGGGAAGGGCTTGGCAGTCTGTTGTGAAATAAGAGCTCAGCCAGGCTTTGGTGGCTAATCCTAGCTACTAAGGAGGCAGAGATCAGGAAGATCTCAGTTCGAAGCCAGCTGGGCTTTATCTCAAAAGAACCCATCACAAAAAAGGACTGGTGGAGTGGCTCAAGGTGTAAGCTCTGAGTTCAAACCCCAGTACTGCAAAAAAAAAAAAAAAGTTCAGCAAAGGAATCTTTATCATCATAATCATCTACTTATTTTAGGGATAATGATATAAAAAGAAATCTATAAACACTTCTGGAGAAAATTAGGAAGTGATTTTTCAGATATACATGGTCTTTCCAGTGACCCTCTGAACATCACCAGTGTCTGCTCCCCACACGACCCTTGCAGGCCCTCCTAAAACTTGATCAGCCTCTGGATCCAAAGCACTAGGGTCAAGGGCAGGGACCACCATGTGTCAGAAGCCTCTGTGTGCCAGACTTCATACTTGAAGAGTCCATGTTTCTGAGCTATCAGCCGGGGAGGGGTAGGGACAGGAGGGAAGAAGATGGGAAAGAAGGGTAGAAAAGGCCAAGGCACACATACTCTGCAGAAATCTTTTTGTATGGCATGGAAACTAGTTTTTATTATTTGTTTTTATTAGGTGTTTCTGTTAAATGTTAGTTATTAGGTGTTAGTTTTATTAGTGTGTTAGTTGACTTTCTGTTACTATGACAAAATACCTGGGAGGACAGATTAATTTTGGCTCATAGTTTCAGAGGTTTCAGTCCATGGTCACTTGGCCCTGTTACTTTGGGACTGTGGCAGCACAGTACATCATGGCAGGAGCACACAGCAGAGGAGTCCTGCTCTCCTCATTGTAGCGGGGAAGCAAAGAGAAAGGAACAGGAAGGGGATGGGTTCACAATACCCCCTTCAAAAGCACACCCTCAGTGACCTAACTTCCTCCCACCAGGCCCTACTTCCCAAAGTTTCCATCACCTCCCAATAGTGCCACAGACTGGGAACCATGCCTTCAACACATGGGCCTTTGAGGGACATCCAAGATCTAAACTATAGCCATCTGTTTCCAACCTTGCACTCCGATTCCCTGTCATCAACCCCTGGTTGATGTATCTCCCTGGAAACATGACAGTCTTTAAGGCAGTGGTTTTACACCAGACCAATCATCCAATTGCTATGCCCAAAGAACATCTTGCAATGCATGCAGACATTTTCTATCATCACAACTTTGAAGAGATGTTCCTGGCTCCTAGTGGTTAGAGGCCATGTTGCTAGATGTGGTACAATGCACAGGACAACCCCCACCACAAAGGATTATCTGGCCCAAATATCAATAGTGCCAAAGTTAAGAAACAGCGGTTGAAGGAAAGAACTGCCCCACCCGTCCCACTTAATTCATTGAGGTTATCAGGCTGGCAGTTTGCCTACTGTCATGGATTAAATGCCTCCAGTGATTCTTTTCCACTGCATGCCACATTAATATACAAGTTGGCAGGCAGTGATTGCTTTCAGGACATGGTTCTTCGTTACTTGTTGTTTGCTATGGGCCACAGTTTAAGACACTCTCCTATGGATGCAGTCCTCAGTGCGGTCATTCATTCATTATTCATTCATTCAGCACACACCCATTGAGCTTCCTCTTACACCAGGGCAAGCTCTAGGGATAAAGGATGAATGACATAAAGCCTCAGTGCTCAACTCCAAGGGTGTGTATGGAGGGATAGGTGGGGAGATAGATGTGTTAGTAAATAATTACAATAATGTTCCAGGTGAAAGTACTCAGGAACTATATGGGGGCAGAGTAGCAGAAGGAGATATGCTCAGTTCCTTTTTCCTTTTCTTTTTTTCTTTTTTTGGGCGATACTGGAGCTTGAACTTAGGGCTTCATGCTTGCTAGGCAGGGGCTCTACCGACTGAGCCATGCCTCCAACCCTAGAGTTTCTATGGAAGACATCAGAAACCTGTCCCCCCCTCCATTTCCATTTTTGGTGTCCACTTGCAAGGGACCCTTCTGACAGCTCCCTGTATGCAGAGACAGAGCATGGGGGTCAGGGCTAGGAGTAAGCTATTTGACCTCAGTAACTCTGCCCCCACACTAGAAGGATACCCATGATCTCCCTCAAGGGGGACCCCAAATGAGTAAAAAATTAACCCTGATAGCTTTGAATTTCAAAATTCAATATCTGGCCACCCAGAGTCAAACAACTAGAAGGAAAGTCGAATTTCAGAGGCTGGGAAATGCACCAGCCAGAGTAGGTTTATTGGAGTTCGCTGCCATGAAGTGTGAGACCCAGCCATGGCTCTCAAGAAGCCCATAAAACAATCAGAGAGCTATGGCTTATATACAGGGACCCATCTGTAACAATACCATACAGTGCATGGATGTATGGAAATGACAGGGGGCTGGGAGCTACAGCTTGGGTTCTAGTTCCAGCTCTGCTACTAACTTATTGGTCTTGGGCAACTCCATTCTGTGAGTCTCAGCCTGCTCATTTGTAAAATGAGGGAATGGAAGCCTCCTTCATTTTTTTTTTTTTAATCCTTGTACTTAGGGTACATTGTGACATTTACCAAAGTTCTTACAATATATCATAGTTGAATTCACCCCCTCAAACAACCTCCTTTATCGCTACCCCACCCCCCACTTCAGGTTGTATTTGGCTTTGAACAATCTTCAGTGTCCCAGATAGCATTCCTTCCAGTTGGGAGTTCAGACTAACGAGTGGGTGCCACTGTTCTAGCACCTTCCAACCCAGTACTGCCACTGACTAGAAGAGGCTCTGGGGTGACTCAGGAGCTGGGAGTGAGCCCAAATTGCACCTTCCCACTGTAGCAAGATGGGCATCCCCTGAGGGTGGGCACACTCAGCAGCCCAGAAGCAGTGGTTTTCTTTATAATCAAACAGGAGCAGACCACAGGAAGGCAAGGTTGTCCCACAGAAGGAAGGACTTGTGCAGGATCAATAGACACTGGAGACTGAGAATCAGGTTCCCAACCACTTTTGCCTGTGAGTTTCTCAGACCTCAGGCCTTGGGGGCCATTTGGAATGTTTGTGGGAAGGGATGGTTCTGGAAGCCTCTCAGTCTTGATCCTTCCCTGTTCCTTCTGTCCTACCAGTCTGGACACAGCCTGTCTCCAATTCACACATCCCAGGGGAAGACTCCCCAGGAGTTTCTATGGGAAAGAAAAACAAACCACCCACCCTGCCGCTTTTCATTTATCTTCCAGCCCCTTCTCTAGACCTGGTTTGTGGGGAACAGCTTCTCCCAAGAGCCCACAGACACGCAGACATTAGGAAGTCAAATCCCACAGGAGCTAGGATGGGGAGCTGCAAACTGTGTACCATCCCAGACCCAGAACTCTAGCCAGAGCATTCTGAGATTTTACCATCTGCAACCTGGCGCCTTAGAAAATGTGAAGGGTAGGGGACAAACGGATGTGGGTCTGATCCTCTTTTTCTGCCAGGGGACAAGCTTTCTCCCTCCCCACTTTTCCAAGCTTGGCTTCCTTTGTCTGTAAATCCAGGGTGACAATGGTCTCAAAAGGCGATCAGGAGATTTAAATGAAATTGTGGAGGCAAAGTACCCAGCATTGCCAGGGGTGGCTCCAGAACTTCCATCCAGAAGGGATACTGAGGCTGGCTAGGAAAAGGGATGAGGTAGAGGGCAAGGGGATTTAGCTGAGAGCTGCTGTTTTTATCTTTGGAGAGGGCCCCCCTGGAGAGGAGCTGATGGAGGTCATTGTTGGGATAGGGAAGGGTCCCACCCCTCAGCTGAAGCTCTGCGGGCCCCCGTGCACCCCATCCCGCCTGGGACTGAACGGGGGGATCCCTTGCGCGCACGGACCCCCAGCTCCCGGGACCGCGGTACTCACGGGGTGCGCGGCGCAGGCGAGCACAAGCACCGCCAGCAGCAGCAGCACGGCCAGTGGCGAAGGCGGGCAGGAGCGCATAGTGTCAGGTGCACTCCGCGGGCGCCCGTGCGTCCTGCCGGCTCCGGAGCTCAGTGCCCCGGGCTCAGGGCGGTCCCCGAGCGCCGGGGAGCCATAGCTGAACACCCGATCCTCCGCGGGTCTCAGGATCGCTCCGCCCGGGACAAGGTGGTCTCGCGCTACCCCGCCCAGCCCATTGATAAGAACACGAAGCTGACCGCGCCTCCGCCCAGCCGCCACTGCTGGGGGCGGGCGCGCAGCCGACTGGGAAAGAGGCGGAGGGAGGACTGCAATCCTCCCTCTTTCTGGGGTACAGAGGAGCACGCTCCGGAGGCTACCGACCCAGCCACAGACTTGCTGGGTGCCCACAAAGAATTTACGCAATATTTGTTTGTTTAGAGACAGGATCTGCGGAGCCTGCGCCACCTCAGCCTGGAGTGCTGGAATTACAGATGTGCACCACCGTACCCGGATTAGGCCACAGTTTTGAACCTCAATATTCTCATTCCAAACAACAATCTAATTCCACCCAGGCCCCGGTTCAAAGAAGCAGGGGTTTTGTAAGCGTCTACTGCGCGCATTCCCGATTTTCACTTGGTTTTTTTTCATTATTACAGTCATGCTCACTCATTCTGGTTTTTTGACCTCCAGAACTCTTTCCACACCAGGGAGCCTTTGATGGACAGGTGAGACCAGGAAGACCCTCCAGTTACCCAGGCATTTTGGAACTGTGCCTGCCCTGGAAGCTCTGTGATTGCTAGTCCCTGGGAGGCCATTTAAACATCAAGCAGGTTATCCCATAGCCTGAGTGAGTCTCAGTACTCCGTTGTCCTGTAAGGTGACTTTGGATCCCTCAGTACTTGGTCCTCCAAACAGTTCTCCCCCCCGCCCCACCCGTGGTACCTGGGTTTGAATTCAGGGCCTCACACTAGCTAGGCAGGCACCATTCCACCGGCCCTTATCTGTGTTGGGTATTTTCCAGGTAGAGTCACACGAACTATTTCCCAGGGCTGGCTTCAGACCTCGATCCTCCTGATATCTGCCTCCTGAGTAGCTAGGATTGCAGCAGCCACTGGCACCTGCTCCCCAACAGTTCTTGTAGATCCAATTTTTCTTTCTTGCTCACCCCATTTCCTCCTGTCTTTCCTCCTTTCTGACTCTTCTCCCAGGCCCTTTAAGTACATCAGTTCATGAATTCCTGCAAGCCCCTAGATGACATTTTCACAGAAAAGGGGATTCTGGTCAGACTGCTAAGCAGCTGTATCACAAGTAGCGTGCCCCAGGCCTTAGCAGCCTTCCCTCCTGGAAGAGATTATTGCTACGTCTCCACGAGCAAATCCCAGCAGAAATAAAGGGGGGAAATGTTTTCAGCACAGTGCTCAGGGCACGCCGACCTACCGTGCATACACACCCACTGTCTCCTTCCAGCGCTTTTCCTACACCAGCACTCATGCAAGAGTCCCTGGGAAATCAGTGTGGGGGTGTTCGTGGAAGTCCTCTTACTGTAGCAGAAAATGCAGACCATGTTTTTGGGAACTCTAAGCCCCACCTTGAGATTTCCTTCCTCTGAGACAGCAACCAATAGTATAATCCTCCTGCCCTCTTCCCACCTCTTCATTTACACACGCACACATGTGCGCACACACAGGGACGGCCAGCTCTGCATAACTGCTGCTTTTGGGATAAGAAATGGCATGATGTCACCCCTTCTGTCTTCAGCCTGTCTGTGGATCACTCAGGTCAGGTTGTGATTGGTGGTCAGGGCTCTGCCTCCTCCACCTCAGTGACAAGGTGGTGGTCGATCTAATTCCGGGTTTCCAAGCCCGATTTTATTACTAATAAAAGTGTTATTATGGACGCGGAGCAGGAGGGGGGGGGCTGCGTAGCTCTGTGGTAAAGTGTTTGCCTAGCATGCTCAAAGCTCTGTGTTCCATCCACAGCACCAGAGAAAAAGAGAGAGCGACAAAAAGTGATATTTCGCCCCATTGGTCTTAGTCTTACTTCTCAATGAGTGTGAAATTCAGCATAGAGAAAAAATTTGTTTTCTAGATCCCTTGGGTCTTAATACCCTTGCAACTTCTATTATTTGAACTTTTGCATTGCTTGAATATATGTTTTAATAACTCTACGTATTTTTTCAATTGAAAGAGATAAGAATAAAACACACAAAAAATGCAATCTGCTCTATACCACAGTCTTATGATGTCCAATGAAAAAATAAAGACATTTGTTCCGGACAGTTCAATACATGTCGGCCGGTGTAAGCCTGAGAGAGAAGATCCGTCTCTCAGAGCATTGGGAAAGGGTGGCAGTGCACTGTGGAAAGCCTTTTTACAAGCTGTGGGTGCTTGTAAAACCTGCCTGAGGAACGATTTTATAAAGGGCAGGAACGGGAAAGCTAACTGTGCTTACCACCTACCATGTGCTAAGAAGTCTGGTAGAAATTCGAGCCTGGCAAGGTGGCTCACACCTGTCATCCCAGATACTCAGGAGGTCATGGGAAGGAAAACTGTGGTGTGGAATTGGATCCAGTGAAAACATGAGACCTTATCCAAAAAATAACTAAAGCAAAAAGGGCTTGGAGTGTGTCTCAAGTGGTAGAGCACCTGCCTAGCAAGTGTGAGGCTCTGAGTTCAAACCCCAGTATTGCCCCCTCCCAAAAAATCCCCCAGCCTCTGTATCTTCTCTTAGTCATTTTCCACATTCTGCCCCCACCCTGCTTCTTGGCTAGAAATCCCCACCGGCATTGTTATATCCAGAGGCCCCTTATTAGAAAACCTCTATTGCAATAGTGCCAAATAAAGTTTTTCTTCCTATTTTAGCAAGTGTCAGAATAATTTTTCTTTCACAAGGGGCAAGGAGCAAAAAGTAGTGTTACCAAAAGCTGGCAAGAGCTGTCCTTGAGAGAGCAGAAGCTTAGATAGACAATTGAAGCCTCTGTCAGAATGGTGGCCTGGCTAGGGGATCCGTAGATAATACACTGTGTCTCTTTTCCTGGGCAAGCTTTTGTGATTGTCTTGATAATTTTTTTCTTTTTCTTTATCTTGCATCCCTCATTCCCTCCCTCCCTCCCTCCCACCCTCCTTTTCTTTCCTTTCTTTCTTTCTCTCTCTTTTTTTTAACCCCCTATGATACTGGGACTTGAAGTCCACATAAAGGCTAAGCAAGTGCTCCTACCACTTTATTGTGCCCTCAGCCAATTTTGTGTCTTGAAAAATCACAGAAGCCTGCCCAGGTTCAAGAGGAGGTGACATAGTCTCTGCATCAGTAAGCTTTCCATCACTATAATAAATAATCAACATATAAAGAGAAAAGTTGATTTTGTCTCACAGTTTTGGAGGCTCCAGTCCACAATCCGTTGGTCCTGTTGCTTTGGCCTGTGTGAGGCATCCCATTGTGGTGGGATCTCTCCATGGAGCAGAGCCACCCACCTCATGGACCAGGGAACAAATGAAAGAGAACGAGTTCGGGGTCTGTAATCTTCTCGGAAGACACATGGGCATGCTCCCAATGACCTAAAGACTTCTGGCTAGGCCCCACCTTCCAACAGTGCCACCGGGAGGACCAAGCCTTTTTAACACATGGGCCTTTGGAGGACAGCCAACGTCCAAACTATAATAGACCTTTTCTTTCTTTCTTTTTTTTCAGTACTAGGGATTTTGCCCAGGGCTTTGCGAATGCTAGGCAAGTGCTCTACCATTGAACTACACCCCAGCCCCAGATTACACTTTGTGATAGGGGAGTGAGAAGATTCTGGAAGAGTAGGAGGGACTGTAAATACTGTGAAGTGATGGCCACTGTGGGGAATACTATACTGATCACCCTCTGTTCTTCATTATAACCCCCCAGGAGAGACAGAGTATCCTTTAGTTTTTGGGTTTGTTATTTTTTTTTTTTTGGCAATACTGGGGTTTGAACTCAGAGCCTCATGCTTGCTAGCAGATGCTCTACCACTTGAGCCACTCTGCCAGCCTGGAGCATCACTTAGATCTTGATGGTTTCCCAGGTCTTGATTCTAATCCCTTTCTCCCAATCTTACTACCCAGGAAGGTGGGTCATGACAACTCAAGTCATAACCATTAGAACATTAGAAATTCCGTGTTCTCCTAACCACAATTTAAGTATTACCCTCAGGATGGGAGAGTCTGTACTTGGTTTTAGGATAAATTTCTCCAGTGGCTTCATACAGACACTCTTATCACTCCAGTGAGGTAGACAGTAAGGGTAAATACAAATCCAAAAAATAAAATTTAAATTAAAACTGTTCCTGGTGCTCCAGGTAAAGAGATTTTTTTCTTCTTTTCCTTTTCTTCCAGTATTGTCTCTCTCTCTCTCTCTCTCTCTCTCTCTCTCTCTCTCTCTCTCTCTCTCAAATCTTTTTAAATCTCTTGCCAGTAATGCATCCAGGAATCATCCAGGAATGCCTTTCTTGGGGGCCTTGGTGCCATCTCCTTGAAATGTGAGTATTAAGGAGGTTGATGCACTGGCTCCCTGCTTCTGTGGGATTGCAGGCTGGGGCTTGGGTAGCGTTGGTAGAAACTCCCTATTTGTCCAAAGGGCTGAGAAGTTTTTTCCTTTGGATAAAAACAATTCACATGTGTGTTAAGAATTATACCTTCCTGGCTATATCAAAGGTGAGATTTCTATTTTTTTTTTTTGCAATCTCTTTTGTGGATTGCCACTGATGCACATGTCTACAGTCTGCTCTGATGCTTATTAAATTATAAAATGGTTTTCCATTCTTTGTTGAAAGGATTACAACTTGGCTGAATTTCTATTTTTTTTTAAATTTCTCCAATCATGTTAATTTTTTTCCCAACAGCAATAAACACTTGTTGGAGCACTAACGTCCATTCAACAACTATTTATTGAGTACCTGTTCTAGGTGGTGTGCTAGGATGAAAGAGCCTTGGGGAAATTGCCTTGGCAACCTCAGCCTTATACACAAGACCAAGGTGCTATGATTGCACTCCTTACAGGAGGCCCAGGAAGATGACCAAGGCTGTTACTCAACACTTAAGAGACCTGTGTCACCAACATTGAACAGACCTATTGTTTGACAGGCATAAGCAACTGCAGAATGTATGGTGCCATGCTAGCAAGTGTAGAAAGTTCTGGGAGAACAGATAGTAGGAGACCAGATCAAGCTTGATGGACCAATGCATCAGCTTGGGTCCTGTCAGTCACCATGCTTTTAGGCTACATGCATTTGGATATCAACAATTTTAAAAGGGTCAAGTTTATAGATGTGTTGGTTTTGCCTGTCTACCCTCCATTTCTCCCTCCCTGCCCCACTTTCAGACCAGTGGGGCTTGGGTGGGGCTTTTACCAAGATCACAGTGAGCACATGACCCAGATCTGGCCAAGAAGAATCACTATCCCCCAAACCAACTAACCACAATGATTGGTTCAAGGATAGGCACATCATTAGGCCTGGGCC